GCCATTGATTCATACCCATTAAATCTGGATTTAATTTTGGTCCGGGTTGGGGGTAGGGTAGGAGAAAGCAATTAAATCCTGATTTAATTGTGTCGTCTCTGCATGGAATGGTGCGTCGCGCAACGTTCACGGGCCAACTAAATCATAAGTAAATTGCAATGGAACTGAGGGGTCCAAGACGGGCCGATGCCGGGCAATAAACTTCAGAGTTATTTTTTTTTAACTCTTGGATTCGCTGCCTTCCACCAGATCCCAAACCCTATACATAAACCCCTAAACCCTAACCCTAAACGCCCTAGTTAGAATCCCAGATCCTAAGCCCTGTATAAACCCCATCCTCAACCCTATATAAACCTTAAACCCTGAAAGCCCAAGAATCTCGAGTCCCTAAACCCTAAACCCCCCTGAGAGTCCCAAGTCCTTACGACGCAGGGAAAGGGCCAGGCGGCCCCCCCTCGGCCCGGGCAGCGGCCGCTGAGCGCCTGGCAGCTTAGAAGCTCTCCGGGCTTTAGGGCTTTAGGAGGGCTTAGGGTTTAGGGTTGAGGGTTGAGGGTTTTAGGAAAGTTTAGGGTTGAGGGTTTAGGGTTTACCGGCATACAATCCAAGCCCGTGCTCAAAAAGGGTGTTAGGAAAAAGTTTGGGGTTTTAGGGTTTAGGGTTGAGGGTTTAGGGTTCAGGGTTTAGGGTTTAGCCTTGCGCATCTCGCCACGAGTGCGATGTGCTGCGAGGGATCTGGCCGGGCGAGCTCAGTTCAAGCCTGTGGAAAAGGGTTGAGGGTTTCGGGTTCTGCTGTAGCTAGCAGAAGCTGCGTTGGGATGTAGAGGTTGAGGGTTTGGGGTTTGAAAGGTTTTGGGGGCTTTGCTACTCTTAAGGGCTCTAGGGCGTGCTTTCGGACGTTAGCTGTTGAGAGCCGCAGGCACTTTCTGGAGCCACGCTTGGGTAATGCTTTTTGAGGCTGGCACCGGAACTAGTATGCGGGGGGCGCATGCAGGTCGAACTTGCGAGAAGACCGAGCCCTACACCCTAAACCTTGAAAGCAACTGCCGCCGTCTCGGGCTCCAGACAAGCAGTTAGTTTTAGTCCCTAGCTGTGGTTGACGGAGGGCGGAAGCGGTCAAGCAGGGAAATGTCTTGGCCAGGGGGAGTGGCTTGACAAGTTTGAGCAAGGGAGTTTCTGAAGATCGGGGGTTGCCTTTTTCCAGGTGCCTTTTAACAAATGGGGGCGCTAGTATTCTGGGTTTATATTTGGGTCCCCTGCTCCAGATAACCCATGGAGTAGTATGTACTTTGGCCATACATTGCCCGTGTAGTGAAGACCTTAAGAAGGCCGAGTTAGATACCATATTCGTCCTCCGGTTGTCAAGGCGGTGGGCTTTCAGAGGTCGGATCCAGGCTTTTTTTTCGCCTGCCTGGGTTCGGTTGCTATAGGGTCGGAATAAATACCAATATTGTCATATATGGATCCTGAGTATGAATATACGACTCCGTTCTAAATAATGAGGCCCCCTTTTCTGCTATATTATGTCAGGAGCTTTTGTTGGACCTCCTGATTCACTGCTCCGACTTATGCATCGGCGGCACCTTCGTTGTCGTCTTTCTTAGGCTGCGAAAGAGCAGATCAGCAGCAGGATTGTCCTTGCAGACCCTGGCGACTGTAGTTGGCGCCAGAGTCCTGCACTTGTTGAGCTGCTCGGATGAAACCAGCGTTGCAGGGTCACGTGTTTACGAAGCTCTCTTTT